TATTTCAGTCCAGCTGACAAAGAAAAGAAAAAAAAACAAATTATTTTTCTCTCTCACCTTCGATTACTTGCTCGTTCCCTCCTTTTTATTTAAAGAGTACTTGTCTAGGTTAGCTATAGGCTTAAATTTTAACCCATAGTGAGAACGAAAGTACGATTCCTTGGGAGTAATGTATATCTTTGTTGTGTGCATGAGAAAATACCTACTTGACTCAGATGAACATTTTTTTTAAAGAAAATCTTTCAAAATAAGCGAACGAATAAGACATCTAGTGTATCGTTAGTAAAAATGAGTTTTCTGAAAAATTCTGATATAGATCAAGTTACAGTGATCATTTTCTATAAGATAGATAAAATATAAAGTCAGAATCACTTGTCAAGAATTAGATTAGCACTATTGGGATCATTATTCTTCAGTTAAACCATTCAATAAAGAAGATTCGCTACGAGTACGCTTATACAATCCGTTTTGTGAGACGTTTGAAGTTTCAGCTAATTATAAAATTAATAATTAATTTCCAATAGATGAATAAGCTACAGAAAATCTTATCACTGAAGAGGAAAACTGCTAGAAGTACTCCTACAAAGATGACAATATCATGTCCACTATAGACTCGAAGCTTGTGATAGTTCTCGCTGCACACAGAATATCGTCACTGTCTTTGATGAAACCGCTTAAAATTCTGATACTATAAGCTGATTGAAATAAAAATAAATTTAGTACTGTAAATCAAGTAGATCATTCGTCAATAATTATGCACTGAATCGTATTTTTCTAAGTATCAGCCACTTGTTCTATGACTACTTGTCCCTCATTCTCTTTAGCTCATCCTTGAACTGATCTCGACATTTAAAGATTGATTCATCCAATAATCTAGTTCATCAGTTACTTTAAATATGAAACTTGAGTTTCTCACTATCAAAAAGGATAGACATAAAATCTGTTAACTACAGAATATTTATTGCTTTATTGTAATATGATCGTGCATTGTATATGACATTTGAGACGAGCTCACTAATATTTGCGAAAGAACAAGTGAATATTGACATTCTTTTTTAACGAAATAGAGTATTTTAAGTAAAAAACAACATAAAGCAAATAAGATTAGATTTTGATTTTCGAAAGAGTGAATAGAAAAAAAAACAGATAAACTGAAAAGCCATCTTGTCCTAAGAATTACTATAGCTTTTTTGGAGTAACTATTCTTCAGGAATCGACATGAAACATTTATACGGTATGCCAAAAGTATCTCTACAACAATGTTTTTTCGTATGACAGCTGACACTATCAAGATTTTATTTATATGCACAAACTATGATGGTGCTGTTTAAAGTACTGATCATTAGCCGAGTCACAAGAAACTAATCTTTGTTATAGCTTTTTAATAATATTTTGCTGTTTTTCTTTTTTAACTGTTTGCCTTTGACTTGATATTGCGATTTCTCTTTTTTGAGAACACATCAAAACTAATTTCTGCCAGACGACTGTTCAACTTTATTCGAGAGAAGTTCGTTGAGAAAGGTCAATTGATGAAGTTATGCAAAAAAAACATTTCTGAGTAGAGATGTCCATCGCGATTGAAAATCTGCCATTCCCGCGCCACGGCCTCAAAATGAAGAAAAGCTACCGCGATGATTTTCAAAACACTGTGTTGAATTTCACTACTGCGACTGTATTTACCCATAAATATTGATACGTGTCCATTAGATTCATTCAGTCGCAAGCTATTTCGTTTAAAAAACATACAAAATTCTATAAATGCACACAGGTTTAAAATGTCCTCCAAAAATAATGCTGCCGCTACCGCCACTGCGGTAGTGGTGCGACGGCGGTCGTGGTAGTGGCAGCGCCGTCATGGACATCTTTGTTTCTGAGTATGAACTTTTGGGATACTCGATAAATTCGTCAATTCATTATTTACACGAAAAGTTTATTAATTGTTACCAGGCGTCTTCATCAGAAACATTCAAATTGTTAAAAATGTTTTATTTGTCGTCAAAAACACGTTCAAACGATGAAAGTTTCGATAACTGTGACTGTTTAAGCACCTAAGACATGTTCAAAAATTAATAATATTAAACTATTTTAACACGTTTCGGCGGTTATTGTGTCCGCATGAGTGAATTCAGCATTTCACCGCTTTTCCGAAGCATGTATATTACACTAGCCCGTGAAGCGCATTTGATCCTCTATGACAAGCCTAAACTATTATATCTCGGCAAACAACGTAGTGCCCAAAATCTGCTGAAAAGCTTGCAAAACATGTCATGTTCTCCAGAAAATATTTTACAGCTCCTATGATTCATGTCTCTGCAAACGATAGGAAGTTGAGAAATGCTTATATACTCGATTTGGTTATGACCTACAAAAAATTATTTATTCGTTCGATTCACATTCGATCTTTCAGAGATAACTGTTAGAGGAGGAATTGGTCTCTGTGGCTAATATGTCTGCTGTGTCTGTGTTTAACATGTGTTGGTGAGAAGCACTGACAAATATTATAGTGAAGAGAACATAGAAGCTCTCATGTTGCTCTGTCCGTCTTTGTACGCCCTCTACGGAGCTTGTTTATTGTCTCACACAAGACGTCGAATCGAATCGCAATCACGATCTCAGTGATGCAATGTTTGTAGTGACAGCTTTGCATAATCTCAAAGCGGTCCGTCCGGTTTATTGTTGCGGCCGAGAGCGAACAGAAAAGTGTTCACACGCAACTGGTTTCTTTAGATTTACGTATTTTCTATACGTCCTTTTGTGTATATCCCTTTCGATACTATCAAAACATGAAAATAGGATAGACTTTACTGTATAAATAGAGACGAGTATAGGTTGTAGCTTTTCGAACAGCACTTTATACTCGCACGCTGAGATGCAGATATAAAATGTTAGTTATGTGGGCAATTTTCTTTTTAATTCTTCAATAATTGATTGCAACTTTCAAGTTTGACATGTGTCGCAGATTCAGAATTATTGATTGTACATAAAGAAGTGGACACAAAAAAGGACGTACACATTTTGAGGTATAAATTTGCATATATAAGTTTGGACATACAGAAAAGAATGTGTCATAACTAATCTATGTTTTTATTTCCGATTTAACTATATTTTAGATATTTCTCAGAAAAGGCTCGTTATCTTTTTATCGACGTTTCTCGAAGAAATCATAAAGTGAATTGTATATCTCAATGATTATTCTGGTGTGACTTTATTTTCAAAAACATTACAAAAGCACAACCATCAAAATAACACAGTGCATTATTGGCCATAACAAGCTTACTAATAGCAACTGAAGACTCTTAACATATAGTAGTATATTAAAACAGCCACGATTCACATAGTGAAATCTTCGACGAACAACAAATCCGTACTTGTCTCATTCAAGAGAACCAATTCGATCGGCAGAAACATATATCGACCATTCAAATCTTGTCAGAACTGCAAGGTAATAAATCGAAATTTGACAATTCACAACAAAAACCGAGTACTGAAAGATAAAACTTGAAAAATATTAATACACTGAATTTATTACTAAAATCATCACGAACAGAACAACAAATAGAAGAGTACGAAATATAAGAAACAGATTCTCAACCCAAAAACGGAGAAAAATATTTTGATACAATGAACAAACAGCGAATAGGTACAGGATAATTGCGCAGTGTTACATCCGCCAACTTGACATTTCCAACAGATAACCGCTCTTAATTTGAATTGTGTGAATCATTAAAAAGACAGTTACGACACGGTTTATACAAACTCGACATCAGTGACGAGAAAGGGAGAAGATAAGAAAAAGGAAACAAAAGCGTCAAACTCTGACAAATAAAGGAAAACACGCGACTGCAGAACAATAACGAAGTTAACTGTTACCATTAGAAGAGCTTCCAGTATTACCAAATAAAATCAGAATTTTACAACCTCATCATTCAAGTATGACATATGAGAAGTTTCATGTTCAAGGAGTGACTGACCCTCCAAACAGTAAAAGAATTATCAGCGAACAATGGGAAGACGATACGATAACTAAAGAAAGCATACGAAACTTATATAGTGACTTTTCTTCTATGCCACCATGTTCAGAAAAATCTCTTATTAGTCTACAGTTTTATGTTTCTCTGAAACTAATTGATAATGCAGCAGTTGCCATTGATAATATCGTAGTACCTGATCGAATAGAGGCTGAAATAGAAAAAGAATGTGAATGTTTGAACGAACAGTTAAAAATTGAGGGAATTGAGTCCTTACAGGTTCAAAATCTGATAGAAACAGTATCGATAAAGGTAAAAGATCAAAATTGGAAATCTGTCTCTCTTATACTGGGAAGAATTTTAAACCTGATTAGACCTTTACATATACATGATTTATTTAGGCTTTTTGAGAAAGTCAACGATGCAGCACAACGAATAAAGGAAAAAGACATCATTCTCTTCCTAGGAGGAACTGGAGTAGGTAAATCAACTACGATTCACTTTCTTGGAGGTTCTAAATTGATGAATACACAAGTGAAAGGATTGAACCATATCCATCCTGCAGAAATAAGAAATCCAGATCTCAAAAAAGTTACTACTACACCGTTTGCCCGATCTGAAACTCGATGCATCACACCTGTTACGGTGAATTTTAAAGATGTTGGCGGTTATGATGATCGTATTTTTGTATTATGTGACAGTCCGGGATTTGAAGATACTAGTGGGTCCGAAGTAGATATTGCGAATGGAGTCGGTATTGTTCAAGCAATAAAAGGATGTAAAAGTGTCAAACTTGTTGTCGTACTTAGTTATAAGAGCCTTGGAGATAGGCTCAACGGTTTAAAAGTCATAACTCATACATTAGTAGGTTTAATACCCCATATCAAGGATCACCTCAAAGCTATTTCCTACCTATTTTCGAAGTTTCCTTCTAACGAAAGAGACACAATCTATCCATTATTACTCGACGCAGAAAGACATATGAATGAAGAAGAAAAATCAGACACTAACTTCATGCTTTTGATCGGAGATATGCTAAAAAAAACAAAAAAGGGACCTCTAGTTTTAGATCCAATTAACGATGATCCCGTTGAGTTTCTTAATCAATTTCTAGATTCTGATGCTATTCATCATCCGGATGAAGTTTTTCAGTTTTCTATTACAGAAAAGTCACGAGCTACTGTACATGAACAAGTGAGAAGACATCAGTTAAGTATTTTATCTGCAACTAATCGTTTCGATTATTTATTAGTTAAATACAAACTTGATCAATTGAAACATTTAAATGATTTAATTGATCAAGAGTACATCAAACAGATTTACACTGATTGTATTCAAAATATAAGTAAACATCTCTCGGAAGAATACGAAGAAGGTGTTTCATTTATGAATCGTTGTTTAATGAATCAAACAATTTTGAGTAATGAAGATGTTCGTCAGTATCAATCATATATTGATCATGCCAAGTTAGCAGACGAACTAAGACAAACTCATTTAGGAAAGGAAGTCGTTGATAGTACTGCATTCATACAATATGTAAATCAGCAAGTAGAAATTATGCTTATAGAACTAAGAGAAAAAGAAATCAATGATTCATTAGTAAGAATAATTCTGGACAAAATAAAACTTGTTTCGACTTTGATTACTGATATTGATCAGGAGAAATATAAACAAATTTGTCAAATTTTTGCTGAAAAATTTGAATCAGTAATTAATTCTTTTAAAAGTTCAGTATTATCTAATAAGTTTGATCAGTGTATTAGTGATATCACAAAATTACATGAAGCATTAACTGTTCTACAAGATCATTTAAATTATGAAGATATGAAAACAAAATATGTTCAAATGAAAGAATATTTTCTTAAATATTTAAATGATTCTGTAAGAAAATTGAATCATATGTTTAATCAAGAAAAATTGCATAAAAATGATATAGAAAGTCTAAACAACTGTGTTTGTATGCTAGAAACTGTTAAGAATATAATTACCTTTCAACTACATATCTCTAAAGAAGCAATTGATGATATTTATGAAGATCTTTTATCAAAAATTTTAAATTATTTTGAAGAGATTATTAAAAAAATTAATTCAGAACTGAATAATGAAAATGCATTTCATATATTGGAAATATTTTTAATCGAATTAGATTCAATCAGAATGATTTCTATTATTGAGTTTAAAACAACTCGATCTTACTATCGTATATTGGAAAAAATAATTGAATATCTACGTCAATCAAAAAGAGATGCTGAACAGTTATTAACAAATTTATTTCGACCAGAAGGAAAAGTTAATTATAATCAACTGAAAAAATGTCTCATGAGTTTAAAGAGTGCCCAATGGATAGAAAAATATCGAGCTGGTGCATATACAGATGTCATGAGTGATGTTGAAGAAAAATTTATTGAAAATATGAAACAAATGAAAGTATCTCTTATGGAAATGACGTTAGATCTTGATAGTTATAATAAAATCGATTCAGCATATAAGATAGTATCAGAAATGAAGGAAATGAAAGATTTTGAGGAAATTTTTACCGATGTCAATCAATATTTAGTTGAAGTTCATTCTTGGTTTGAAAATACAATATATAATGTTTGTAATATTATTAAAGATTCATTTAGCTTAGAAAAACTCAAGGAACAAGAACACCAAAGTCTAGATTTCAACAAAGCTGAAAAAGCATTTCATTATTTGGATGCTTGTAAAAAAATTCGAATATTATCGAAAAATTATTATATGTCCGTCATGAAAAGTTTGGAAGAGTGTATCAGATACTATATTAGTTTTGTTCAAAATGAAATGCAAAGTTGTTTTGAAAATATCAAACAATTTCAAAGCACGCATAAAGAAGAAATGTTGGAAAAAGTTCGCACACTATCAACTTTTCTTCAAGAAGTTCATGAAATAAAAACAACATATTCTTGTGTTTTTTCTTGTTTCTTAAATGGAAAAATTTTTGAACAATGGCAACAAGAATTATCAAATTACCGAATGGAGTTAGTAAATGAAATGGAAACATTATGCATCATTGACCAAACTGCGGCTTTAAAGAATAAGCTATTGATTGCAAAAGCATTAAGTAGATTAGATAGTTTTTTGGAAGGAGAAAAGTATATCGATGTTTATATTAGATATCAAAATGAATTTCTTTCAAAAATGAATAACGCTTCCGGAAAAATAAGAGATGCTATTCAAAAATATGACTATGAACAAGTCGCTCGTGAATTAATAAAATTTAAGTCATTAGGTGATGTAGGAGAAGATCTTTTTAAACAAGCTAAGCAAGCACTTAACCGAAGTTTAGATCTCTTCATGGAAGAAACCAAGTATCAAGCAATCATGCTTGGAAATAATCTAGAAATAGAAAAAATAAAATTATTAGTAGATAATTTAAATCGAATACAAAAAGCAAAACAATATGTATCACAATATCTTGATACACCAGATGAACTAGATAAATGTGTAGCAGATGTTAAAATAATGATTGAAGAGCGGCTCAAACGCTTCTTACAAAGGGTACAAGCCTTCATCTATGTCAATAATTTCTATGAAGTTGAACAGAAAAAGGAATATATAAATTTAGTGCATCATTTGTTAGGTAGTTATTGTACAAAAGTTATTTCCGATGAAATCAAAAGAATTCAAGAGCGTCAAAATCATGTTATATTGGTTGAAGTAGTTCAAAAATATTTCGATATGGATATTGACATGTATGTCTTGAATTCACCAACAGATATATTCGAAAAATTCGAAGCAGTTAAGAACATAAATCCAATATATAATCAGGCCTTAAATAAAATAAAGGAAAACATTGTCAGTAAATTTAGAAAAGAATTGGAACTCGCAAAATTGTCGATGCCTCCAAACCCGAACAATATTCATATAAGAAAATTCGAGTCTGCTGTTAAGTGTTTACCAGAAGCCATGAGAAGTGCTCTCGAATCAGACCTAAAATATTGTAAGAAAGATATCAATTCTATGATACAAAACAATCATAAAGAACTTCAAAATTTGAATAGTAGTGAAGATTCAAAAACTATTAAAAATCCTCGACAATATCAAAGTTCACAAAATATGCAATCTTTAATTAGTCAGACTCGAGAACTTGTTTTGATACAAGTTCAAGAAATAGCCGATCAAATAAATCAAAATTTCGAACAACATGATGTCACTGAAGCATTAACTATTGTAAAAATTTTATACGAATATAAAAATGAACTAGACACTATTGTCACACATGTTAGACAACCATATTCAACAGTACAATCTCAAATAAAAATTAAATTTGAGAATGCATATATTTGTTTTATGAATCAATTTTTACAGAATAATACATTTGAGATAACTAATGAATTAGTTGAGACTATAGAGAAAAGTTTTCTTTGTTTAATCGAATTTATTAAATTCAAAAATAAGTTTAAAGATCAACCTATTTTAACTCATACACTTCCAGAAGATTTCAATGAAAAGCTAATCGTATTGAATAGAAAAACTACAGACTATTTTACCATACTTCAGAAAAAGTATGAAGATGCTTTAGAAAAATTCGATATTTCATCTTTGAAAGAAACATTAGACTTTATGCATAAGTGGAATTCATTAATTATGAAAATGAAAAATGATGTTCGAATGTATAATATCAATGATACTTTAGTAAATAGTATGATGAAGGCAATCATAGCACTAACTATTTATCCACATATGTTACATTGTGTATCTCAAAAATTTCAAGAATTACAAGATGAAATCATTCATCAACAACTTATCAATAAGGAGACAACAGAATCGTCCCAACAACGAGAGAAATTTTATAGAAAACTCAACGAGAAATTTCTCATTCTAGATAAAATTAAGTTGCTTAGTAAACATGAATTAAATATTGATGTAAATACAGCTAAACAAGAATTTTTGAAATCATTGGAGACAAAAATCACAGAAATTTTTAATAGTACACAGACATTTTTGAGAAAATTTTCCAAAGAATCTGAATTGACAAGTCAGAATTGTCATAATTTTAATTTATACTATGGTAATTTATTATCATATCGACGAGAAATGAAAGGGATGAATTTTAGAATAAATGAACAAATTGACAAAATAGAAAAAATAATTTTCGATAAAATTTATACATGGGTATGTATAGTTGAAATAGATTCATCAGTTTCAAATATTTCTCTCAGTTTAATCAACATGAAGCGTGTTTCAAATAATATTCCATTGTTTAAGTTTAAAATAAATCGAATTCTAGAACAAGCACTCAATCAATATAAAAATAGAACGAAAGGTACTATGAATTTTTCAAAATTAGGCGCTATTTTAAATCAAGATGTGAGTGGTATAGGTCAAAGCATTGTTGATGAGATTAAAACATTTCAAGGTTACACATTATCTTTGTTTAATGAGAAAACTCAACGGTACGATATTAATTATGTATTAAAAAATTTAAAGGGTGACTTTATTGAGATAGATCAATTAACAAAGAGATATAGAGAATTTCAAAATATCTATGATAGTTTAATCAAAAAATATTTTAAAATTGATATCGACTTACAAAAAGTTATTGCAAATACGAAATTAATCGCGGTGAATATTAAACAGACGTCAGACGTCAACAAATGGGACTCACATGTAAGAGATGGAATTCCAATGTTATTAGCGCATATTTTTGCTTTGTGGACATTTCAAAATGCAAATTATTATTTTAAAGCTGGAGATGTAACGAATCCAAACAACTATATTCTTAAGCCTCATGCAGCTCAAATAGTTTCAATATTACGTATGCTCGGCATAGGCGATAACAAAGAAGAATTAAGAAATAATTTAGTACAAATAGACACTGGAGAGGGAAAATCTGTAGTATTAGGAGTCATAGCCACAACATTTGCACTACTTGGTTTCGATGTAAGTTGTGTATGTTATAGTGAATATTTAAGTCAGAAAGATTACATAAGATTTCTGCCGATATTTGATTCATTAGATCTACTTCAATATATTCATTACGGTACCATTAATAAACTCTGTGAAGATATAATTAGTCAAAATAGTGACATTCGTCATATAGTAGAACAATTGATATCAATCGGTTTTAATAGAATTGCACGAAATAGCCAATCGAATGAACGTGCTAAAATATTATTGATTGATGAAGTTGATGTTTTCTTTAGTCGAGATTTTTATGGTAATGTATATATACCATCAGCTAACTTACGAGATCCTACTATTACATCACTAATCAATTTTATTTGGTCACAAAGAAAATCAAACTTAAAACTCAATCAAGTAGAAGCTACAGCTGAATATAAAGCTTGTTGTCACACATTTCCAACTTGGGAACCTTTGATTCGAGAAGCTGTCAAAGATATCATTGATGATGTACATAACTTTGAGTCTTATGATTATGTTGTTAAGGAGGATAAAATTGGATATATAGAACAGGATAATATCGTATACAATGTTGTTTATAGTTATAAAACTTTATTTGCATATTATTATGAGCACGAAAAAGGTCAAATAAGTAGAAAAAGTTTAGAAGAAAAAATAAGTATAAGAATAAAGTGTGGTAGTTTTTCATATGCTGAGATACCACTTCAGTTTAAATATATAATGGGTGTTACAGGAACATTAGAAACTCTAAGTGATCCTGAAAAACAAATTATACAAAATGTGTATAAAATTGGAAAAAATACATATATTCCATCGATGTTTGGCAAAAAGAATCTTATGTTTAGAATAGAAGACGATATCATAATTGAAAATAGTAATGATTATTTCAATACTATTAAAAGAGAAATTGATAATAGATTAGTAGGCAAATCATCAGAAAAACGTGCTATATTAGTTTTTTTTGAATCAAAACAAAGATTAAAAGAATTTTATGAGTCAAAGGCTTTAGAAACAATAAAACAATCAGTTGCTTATTTAACAGAAGAAGCATCTTCAGAAGAAAAAGAAATTGCAATTAAACGTGCCACTGCCTCTGGCCAAATAACTTTATTTACTAGAACTTTCGGTAGAGGAACCGATTTCATATGCTATGATCCTAGTGTTACTGCAAATGGTGGCACTCATGTCATTCAGACATTCTTTTCAGAACACTTGTCAGAAGAACAACAAATCAAAAGTAGAACTACCAGACAAGGTGATTATGGATCTTATAGTATGGTATTACTTGATGATGATTTGGAAAAATTTCTCATTCAAAAGGAGGATATTGAAAATGTTAAGAAAGGTAGAGGAATTCAAGTTTGTCTTCCAGGTTCGCCTGTTTCGACAAAATTCTATAGGACAATATACGATCTTCTTCATGATAAACGTACTATTTTATTTAAAACTCTATATGAAACTAATACAAAATTTATTCGACAGATGAAAGAAAGGCATGAGGCTACTCAAAAATTTCTACTAAATCTCAATTTTGGAGAGGTCGATTTCGCCAGAACATTTTTAGTAAAAGAAAATCAAGGAGTGGATACTATTTCCCATCAGTCACGGACAGTTTCCTTAAAGGAAGATAAAAAAGAGAAGGCTTCTGTTGAAACATATAGACAAAAATTTGTGAAGTCCTATACATAGAACAGCCATTATTTTCGACAATATATTTTCAAGCAATATTTTCGATATCAAAATTTAGTACAGAAAAATAAATTCCTTAAATACAATGAAAGTTGATCTTATCCGAACTAAACAGCATTTACATGTAGTCTAGGATCAACACAGCTCGTACTTCTATTTTTTGTTCTGTTTTGCCTTGAAGTTTTTTGTCCACTAGCTCTGACGCATTCCTTTGGTCTCCTACGCTTTACATGAAGCTGTGTGTTCTTTTTTTATATCAAGTCACATTCCTTTGTATTCTTTTTTGTTTGATGATATTGTATTACATGTTCTACCTTAAACTATGTAAGAATCCTCTCTATTATTTACTTTTTTTTATTCAAATATAATCTTCAAAATAACATAGAATCATGAAAACAAAATTTCTATTCGAAGTATCAACCAATATTTCTTTTTCAACAATAGAGACTTTGGACTAGTCAATGCAACAATTATAATGATTGATTTTTTCTTTCAACAATGTACTTTCATTTCTCAAAACAAACGACAAAAAGAAAAGACATCCATAAACATGTCTCATCTCTTATTGACAACCTACGAGTAATGGATATTGTAACAACTAAGATGATAATTGATGATGATCAATGACACTCACTGACTCTCTAAATTTTATTGCTTTTCTTTTTCATATAAAGCAAAAGTTTGAAAACCGTGATGTGACTACGAAAAATCGTACCTATACAAGACACTAGTTCTTGTCTGAATCATCGACAAAGAAACAACTTTAAATAGACGAGTTGCAAAAAAGTGTAACTTCTAAAAAGTCAATATTATAGTGCATCATTCAGTTTCACTTTCATTATTATGAATTAGAAAAATATTGAAAAAAATAAACAACTACATAGAATAATTATTATACTCGGAGATATTATTATCGTGTTACTAGGTATTTGATTAATCTGCTTATATAGTTTAATCATATACATAGATGATGCATTTGAATCAGATGGATAATCAATATTTGATATATTAAAATTATATTTAAAATTTTGTTGATAATTATGTAAATAAAATCTTGCTTGATGATCCAAAAGTAAGCTTCGAGTTATATTAGACATTTCAATATAAAGCAAACTTTGAAATTCACGATTTGTAACTAAATAAATATCAATTTGAATATGTAGTGATGGATTTCTACGTCGTTCATCAAATTTACAATGTATATAATTTATTGTTCGAAAAAAACCATCATTGATAAAATATTGTCCAATGCGTTCATCGATTTCAGATAATTCAGGTATACGTGTATTTGAATCATTTGTTATTGGTGAAATAATTGGTGGACGACATATATGTCTAACATGACCGGATATTGAATTATTGAGACTAGTACTATGACGGCGATGATCAAGAAATAAATGTAATTCAGTCCATAATCTATTTAGGTGACTTTTATTACCATACGATAATTCTAAAGACCATTCACTCATTCGAGTACGAAGAATAATATGTTCATAACGTTGTTGATTAAATAAAAATTTTGTACTTATTAAAAATCGTGTTTCAAGCCAATCATCTTCAGACCAATTCGTAAAATTAGTTCCATATGAAGAACTTGTTAGGGTTAATGCAATATTCAATCGATAAATGAAAACTATACATAAAATTTGCCATATTGATGGTAGATTCATGCTGCAAACAGAAAAAATAAAAGCAATAATATTGATCAGCAAAAGCTACCTTAGACAGCATATTTATATAGACTTTGAAATTGGATACAACGTTTTTTTTGCACTACGTCATTTGAAGGTAAAAGAAATGATTCTATTTAATAGATCGGTTTACGTCGATTTTTAATTATTGATCTATTTGATACTCAAGACTAAGATTTCTTAAAAAACACAACATAATAACAAAACATAAAAAGTGATGGTCGTGGGATGGCAACGGAGCGTTATTTTCATTATATTCAGCCTTGAATTGATAATCCGCTACCTTCGGACCATCATTTATGAATATCTAGGAAGTTGTTATTATGTTGAAAATAGATTGATCTTGTGTAATTACATAGATGATAACAGGAAGGAATACGTACAAGCAGGAAATATCGATTATAGATCGATCCTATCCTACAGAACACTAAAGATGTCTTTTTTGTATATATGTATCCCCTCTATGCAACATATATGGAATAGCTAACATCATCAATTATTTCTTCCTAATATTGTTGTTTCGATTCCTATTTATACTACCATTATGCTTTTCTCGTATACTTGTGTAGTTGTAACCGAAATTTCTTCTTTTTTTGTTTTTTTTGCTAAAAATCAGAGAAAAAAAAACTATAAGTTCTAATAATTTCATGATGCCAAGTTAATGTTAGCAAACAATTAGAAAAATTACAAGAATGCAAGAAGACAGAGAAATTTTTGTTATCAACATATAAGAGTACATGAGATACAATTACAATATCTTCAGTGAACTCTTAATAGTAATGTTTGAACGTTTTAGAATCTAAATAACCAATCATGTAATGATGGTATAAATAGAAGTCGAAACAGGAATAGGATAAAGAAAGCATTGATAAAAGAAAGTTTTGTCAATTTATTTTTCGCAGAAGCTAATCTACTTCATATGACAGTAAAATATATGAGTTTGTCACAATGAGCAATATGAAACTCGTTGATTGTTACTTGAAGACGTACGAATGATCAATCAAAAGGAAGATTTCAAAACACATAATAAAAAGTGATGGTCGTGGGATGGCAACGGAGTGTTATTTGATTTTTTAGGTAAACCTGTTGATAATCCACTACCTTCGGACCACCATTTATGAATATCTAGGAAGTTGTTATTATCTTGAAAATAGATTGATCTTGTGTAATTACATGGAATAACAGGAAGGAATACATATAAGCAGGAAATAGCAACTATCGATCGATCCTATCTTATAGAACACAAAAGATTTTTTTTTGTATTTCCTTGTACATATAGCCTTTTATTGTTTTATTCTGGTTTTAATCATACAATTATTTTAATTCGAAGTATGCATCATGTTTGCAATTCAATTGTATACAATTTAGAATTGCAGTGAAACTCTCTATAGTGAACATTAATCATGAATTCAAAGAGAATATCGCGATGACTATCATCAAGCATTTAGCATAATGACATCTTCTTATTGATCGAATCATGGAATAACAAAAACAAAAAAGATCCATCCTTTGTTTATTATCTATACAACCGTATTGAAACATGTGTCTTTGTGCTGTCATTACTATAAGAAAGAGATCATTATGTTGAATCGATGAGTTTTGACTCTGGAACAAAAGATTTCTTTAACTAAAGGCAATCAAAATGGTCACAATTTATTAATTTCATCTTTTGACGTCTACTCAATAGCTTCTGCCAAATGTTCTCATTTCTTATCTTGAATTACAATTAACTGATATTCACCTGGATTCGAAAGTAACGAAACAAATTTCTATCAATGGTTGTTTTGATAATTGACGATTCTTCTGTTTTCCGAAAAAATAAAGTAATAACATGTTCTATCCAATTATCTAATTCATTAATAGTTCAGATGCTTAGAGACGTGTGTACTTCCTTGAAAGAGACGTTATCTTTACAAGACACATTAGCTTTCTATAGCGACCAGTTTTGAAAAGTTTAAAGAGTATTCACCATAGAGAAATTTGACTGTATGTACGAATCAAGATTCCATTATTTTTATGCCTTTCACATGGAGAAGCATTAAAAAAATGCTAACGAAATAGTATTTCACAACAGCAATTTGTCGTTTTGCAATTTAAACTCAATGACGTCATCTGCTCTCATCATATCAGTCCATTATCTTTTTTCAGCATTGATAAACAAATGAATTAGCATTGTCATACTTACCTATATAAGAAGAACTAAAACTGACCGAAGCAGTTAGTAATACAACAATGTCTACAGCTTATTTATTTCAAAACGAAATTCCTCCAACATCAATCTTAGATCCAGATAGTCGGGATCCAATGGGAATCAATAAACATCTTCAGGTACAAAAATATAAACAAACTAATATTCTCTCAACTTGTTTTTATTTTATTAGCTTAATTTTTTTAATGTTATTGCTGAACCTGATACAAGTGCTTATAATTTTGAAGTACTTCATAGACTTTTACATCAAGTTTATCATTATAGTAAAGTTTTTATTTATCGTTTTTTAACTATTCTTATCGGCTTACCATTAATGTTATGTTGGGGTCTTCTATTTGGTAGTTATACATTTTCAATGATATGGGTTGCTGTACCTATTCGTCGATTATGTCAATCATTAATTGCGGAATCTGGTTTATATGTTCAAACAATAAGTGATGCTCTTATTGGACCAATACATCGTTCAATGGGACAGATATTTTCTGGCATTCGTGTATCTCTTTCTAAAGTAGATATTAATGCAACAAAACAAATTCAAGTGTAAATAAATATATAAATTAAACCATGAATATTTATCTTCAATAAAAATTATTTTTTTTATTTAATCTGTAACTTAATAGAAAGAAGATTGTTATCAATCAATGAATTTTTTTTCTTCAACTAATAATTTTTACTAAAGAAATAAAAACTATCTCTATATATTGTCTAATAGTAAAAACAATATTCTACATGTCACTGATATTTAATCATTTTTCAATATACATATTAGAGTTTAGAAGAAGTAATCGTGGTAGAACAAAAACGAAGTGTATAAACAAGTTCATTAACTCTTAATTTTCATTAAATGTTCGAAATAACTGTGCTGGTTATTCACACTCAATTACATTCATGAACTTACCTCTGTATTTATTTTTTGATTTATCATTTCCATGTTTTGTATATTCGAAAGTATATAGACGGCTAAATATTAGAAGAGTTCAGAAAAAATAACAACAAAGAAAAATCGAAATTTTCTTATAATACTAGTTGAAGAATGATTAAATAACATAGAAAAGTTCTATTCTTAATATGCCCTAAATGATAACAAGTATCATCTCTGTTTCATGATAATTTTTATTAATATAAGATAACAGTATAAAAGTGAATATAGAATAACATTCATATGACTAAGGAAAATTTCACTCAGGCTCACAAATAACATTCCACAAGTTTTATAACCATTTACGCATAGTAATTAGGTGATATCAATACATCTGCTAAGATAACAAGTTGATCTTCCGTAAATTTTTCTCGATGTTCATGCCATGAATCATGATGCGTACGACGAAATTCTGATAATGCTTTTTTAATTGATTTCTAATTATTTAACAAAAGAAAATATATATATATATGAAAATTCTTTGAATACATAGTTAACTAACTTGAATAAGATCAGGATCATGAGAATGTTCACATAAAAGCATTAATGCATCTGGTACATAATTTGGAATATCATATGGACTTGAAAGAACTATTGCACAAAGACCAAGTATACCTAATAATAAATTAGATGATTAATTTAAATGCAATTATTTAACTAACCTCCATGACGTTTAATAATATTGTCAGTTATAATAGTTTTTCCACTTTTTTTAATAAAATAATTTATTTTACTCATTTGACTAAAATATTTCTAAAAACAAAAAATATCAAGAAGACTTAATTTCTAAAATAGAATCATAAATATTTACAAAATCTTCTTTATTCACTTGAATATATCCACATTGATATAAACCTGATAATGTAACTGATGCAACTGTACGAACTTCAAATTGTTCATCAAATAAACATTTAAAAATAAGTTTGCATATTTGTTTTTTATAAGATCGAGCATTAAATAGATTACAAAAAATCATATGTTGTACAAATTCTATAGCTGCACGACGTGCATGCCATTTCGAACTTATACAAACCTTTATTTGATGAAACAAAGAAAGATAATTTTCTATTGTGTTCTTTTTTTTTGTAGTTCAATGTTTATTTACTTGTTCTAATTGTTCAATCAATGATTCAAGAAAAGGTGTATGTAAATAAGTCATAGCCACATACATTCGACTGATTGTTAAATTTTCACTTGGAACAATATTTTCTAAATCACAAAGCTAAAGACAAAAACAAAAAACTACTTTGAAATCCATTTATTAGAACATACATATGGAAATATTCGAACAATGGCACTTTTCATTGGTTGTAAACACCACATAAATATACGTGTATGTAATTGAATTACTGGGTGAAATAATTAGAAAAAAAAATTAAATAATTATAATGTGCAAATTTATTTTTGTATTACCTGTTTCAATAAAATTTAAAGCTTTACGAGCTTCTTGATCAATTTCAATCTTTTCTCCAGAAATATTCGCTATAAAAGATAAAACAGTATGAAATGATTAATGAATATTGTGTTATGTTGAAAATAACTCAATACAAATTCACATATACTTTTTTGAATAACTACATCTCATATGATTTACCATTTAAAATGTTTTTCATATCTGAAAATAATCATTCAACTGTGGGGCATCGTTGTTTCTGTTTTTGACCAGCTATTCATGAATAGTTCAATTATAAAAATTTTCATCTGCTATTTTACCCATTAACAGACCTAATGACCATTAGAATAGGGTAAAATCTTCAATGAAAATGAATATATTCTTTTTGAAATATTGAACATCCAACCAATACTTATCACAAGGCAACAAGCCATACAATCAAGTTATCTTCGATGCAT